GATTCGACATGCGGCTACGGAAACAAGTTCTCGATTTTTTCTGAAGTCTGAAAGCTGATATTACGTGAGCCAATCGTCTTGGGTAAATATATTTACCGAAATTTACCACGGAGCGTTATCGTGAAACACGACAATTTCATGTTTTACCGGGGGAACATATCCTTCGTCATGACGAGATTACTTTCCTATTTGGACGAGCTCAGTTTTCTACCTCTTATTGATGTTTTTTCGAGTATTATCTTGTATATAATGCTTTTATTTATGTTGATGCATGGATAATACAAATTTACAATCCAACTTCTATGCTCTACACTGAGATACTGAGCACTTTTGGTTTCGTTAGCCCCGTGCTTCATTAACGCCATAGTAAATATGACCAGTCAACGGACCGCCCTCATGTGACCTTGATTTTAAGGTTGATTTAAACATTGGTGGGACTTTCTCTAATGTGTATACTCGGTTTTACTTAGAATAAATCGTAAAGCTAACTTAACGTCGATTCTCCAAATTACCAAAGAATTTCCTTCTTCCATAGGAACACAATTATCAAGCGTGTGGTGGGATGAAAGAATTACTTTATGTAAAGGAAAAGTGGAAAACGGTCAAGTCAGCTGTCCGGTGACTGAGTGGGTGGTATACTTGTGTTCCGCCTGTGAGGTCTCGCGGGGGGGGGGGNNNNGGGGGCCGTCGATCCCTATTCGGGTCGATAGATTCGCACTGCACTGATGAGACCCAACCAGGTCGAAACAGTTGCAAACAATGCTTCCTAGTTTTTCAGTTCACGCTTCATTTGTTCTACCTATGCACGACCAATTCCCATATGAAGTTCCTTCTATCGGACCCGTAAAATATAGAGGGTTTCTGAAGACTGTTGGGGCTTATTCACAAGAATCTCTGCTAGGCTCACTCACTCCTTGTTCAGATAAGTTTGCTTTACCAACCGAGGTCACACATCCAATCCCCATTAATAATACTGCAGCCTAGAAACGACGTAGATAAGGTTAAAATGTGAATAAATGCACGACGTTTTCCGGAGCTACAAAATCTTGAATATATGCAAAGAACGTTTTCCAGTGTATCAAAGTTAGAATGGTGCGCTTCGCAACTACCGTAAATCGAGTTGACGAATCGCAACAATTCGTTAGAACAGAGCGAGAGAGAGGGGACAAATACTTCGAGATGTTCACATTTCTTTTCATATCCGCAGTCACTACAACATAAAACAATCTGGTGTTTATACATGCATCAAAAGTTCACGGTGACATTATGTCGAACGTTTCCTGTCGCATAGCTTTGACTGAAACCATATACTTCGTTTGGACAATAGAAAACAGAAGCGACTCTACAATTCTGCTTCACATATCTACCAGACCACCTGTAGTTGCGGTGACACTTGCATTGGCAGAACAAATCGGCTCCTGTCTCAGCGGATGTCTGAACACATTCCCAAGTGGTTGTTACGATCGGTGACGCAACACAGTCTTAGAGGTCAATCGGATAAGAGAAATCCGGAGTGATCAGTTGCAAACAAAACATCTCATAACAATTGGACACATCTTTTAGCCACATTTGTCGTTCAAGCCGTTATCGCGTAACCTAAATCCCAGGCGTTTAGCGAGGTGTAATCCAATCTTGTGCCCATAAAAGTTTCTCACCCAAATAGTCAAACTGTCATGGAACTGATTTTATCATCCACCTCTTCCTCGCTATTGTCCGTTGCACCGCTGTGGTGATTACAACTTGCTTGTATTAATGCCAGATTGCTTTACGTTGTAGTAACTGAGGAGATTGAAAGAAATGTTAACATCCGGCAGTTTAGTTCTTTTCTCTGTTCTAACGAATTGAACAAATGGGACCTAATGTTTCGAATAGCGTAAATCTGAAAACCCATGCTTAAAGTGTGACATCATACGCTGCTTTGTTGAAATAAACACGAAGAAACACCACTTGATTCGAATGGAATATAATCTTCAACATTTGAATCGTTCACTTTCTATTCTCTCAATCTGGCAAGTACGCGCGAGCACACACACACACACACATCCCATTGTCACTTGTCATCCACTCCAGGCGGTCTGTACAAACAGAATCAAAACTGTATTCGGAACGCGCGCGAGCGTGTGAACTTTATTGTCATCTTGATCCTGTATCGAGCATGATGGGCATCGGCCCGGTAACTGACATTTTAGAGTGACAGGATGAAACAAAAAAGATAAACAACTAACAATCATTCACAAATACTAGTTAGCAACGTGGTTTTTCTCCTGGCAACTTTTGCTTTCTGTTTCCGGGTCCGGTTACTGGTACTTCTTCTTTTTTCTCGTATTTGACTGTGACATCACTTCGATTGTCTGGTTTGTTTGTCTCATATCTGCCGACTGAATACCACTCATACTAGCATTGTTATTGTTACTACTATTACTACTACTACTACTACTACTACTACTACTACTACTACTACCACTACTACTGTAGTATTACCAGTTCGACTGCTTCTACTGTTTACTACCTCGATTCCACCAAAGGGATTTGGGGGGGGGGGCGGGCGGNACACACACACACACACACATTTACAGTCGCCAAGAATGAGAGAGAGAGAGAGAGCGCGGGCATGTGCGTGGTGCAAAACTAGAAAGAAAAAGAACACAAACAAATCTCTTGATTTTGATCGACACGATCTTCGTTGTCGTCCTCCTCCTACTCCTCCTCGTCATCGTGGTTTACAAAACACAAGAACTCGGTGTGATTTTGATTGATAGGTCTCGAGGATCGTGAGAAAATTCAAATGAAAAAAACTCCAACTAGCCTGTTCCTTCACCTCCCCACCTTTGCCTCTCGTGTTCTTCATCGATAGGTTATCGCTTGTTTGATTACACTGGCAAGTGTAATTATATTTGTTTTGTACAGATGCGACGATTCCGGTGCTTATTGACACATCAAAATCCGATCAGGAGGCGCCAAGTCTGATCACGTACTGAATGGTGATGGTGTTGGATTCGAGGTCGATTGGGGTGGAGGTGAGGCAGTTGGGGGGATAGAAGAGAAGATGATGATGATCAATCGGAAGACGGTGATGACACGGATGAAGTGTGTTGTGCGTACACAGATCTAAGAACAAAATGAATACTTTTCCAAATATAGCCCTCTAGTTTGAGGTTGTCTATGCAAATGGATAGGATATGATATAAACATCATCATCATCATCATCATCATCATCATCATCATCATCATCATCATCATCATCATCATCATCATCATCATCA